AGAGGCCAGGTCTCCCCATGTAACATCTCAGGACAGTTAAAACAACCCCCAAACAATATATTTTCTAATGTTTTACCTCAATCTCCATTGTTTCAGCTTAAAACCATTATTTCTAATCCTTTCTGTTGTGGACCAGAACAGCTTACCCTTTGTCTTTTCCACCATCTTTTGCTTTCCTGAGGACTTAGCTCTTTTTCCTTTCTTTTAAATACGGGAAAGATGGGAATTGCACAGCAGTAGCCTGGAAACACGTTAGACTAGCCCGGCAGCCAACTGATGCATCTCAAGGGCAGAGCCGCCTTTCTGCCCTCTCAGTCAGGAGGAAGATGGTCTGAAAGCCTCATTACGAAGAAAACTCATTGTTTCTGCAGTAAGAAGAGCTCTGCTCCTGGCTAATCCAGAAAACCTCAGTGGCAGATAGGCAGTTTCTCATCCTTTACTTCTTAATTGTTCAAATTCACCAGGAAAAAAAATAATAAAATAGATCACAGGAACTCTGGTGGCACAGATTAAAGGAAGTGCCCTCACAAAAGAGAAATCTTTGCATTACTGGGCTTCCAGTGCCCCCGGGAGCCTCCCGTCCTGTCCTGCAGGTGCCACAGCAGGCCGCAGTATGGCCAGACAGGACCTGCGCTTCTCGGATTGCCAGAAGCAGATCTCGGTATCCCGCTTCAAAGGAAGTAGAAACTGCGTTACTTTGGATCCGGCGCAGGACCGAGCCCGCTAGAGGTGCTCCTTCCACGGAATAGCGGGGCGATTCTTTTCTTTCTTGCTGTTTCATGAAGTCAGTGGCAGGCAGGGAGCAAAACTTGCCTGGATTCATATATTCTAGATTCTCTCATTACGTACCCACAATGCAGTGGATTCAGAGAAAGGTTCATCAAGACTGTTTTTCCAAAAATCTGCTTGAAGTGAGACTACAGCACAAGAAATAACCAGCGGTAGGCCCCAAGGATGAAATCACCCATCAACCACAGAGTAAAGGCTGAATAAACCACCTAGAACCTGGCTCCGAAGAACAAAAAATAATTTTTGCCTGTGCTAGTTTTGAGAGGAAATGGCAGAATTAAGCCCTGGAGGTTAGACAGATGGGAATGAACCGCGCAGTGATTAGGAATATCAGATTTCCCAATCCAAATAGTATTACAAGGCTAGGACTATGCAATAAATCAGGCACAAACTGCAGATGGGAGAGCAAGGGTTCCATATTATCTTTTCCAAACAGCACAAAACCATGTAAATAGCAGAAACGAAGAAACAAAACTTAACAGCCATCAATAAAAATTTGTAATCTAAAACTATTTCCCATAATACTGCCAGAGAATATCAGTAAGGTCAGGTTATTTGAATTAATAAGAGTATCTTAAATTGGAGTAAGAATGAACTTTTTAATGGGAGCTTTGAACATTCCTGATGCAGGGCATGCATGGTCCAATAACCAAGCAGCAAGGAGTAGGAAAATATTTCCCCAACAGATGAATTGTTTTTTTAATTATTCACTATGACAAATGTACAGTACCAAAATATACAGTACCACTTAAAAGAGACCATGGACTACATGACTTCCGAGCATAACCTAAAATAACAATTTCTGCAAATCACAGTTGTCCAAACACAAAGAGATGATGAGGAGAGATGGTTCAGGAATTATAAGCAAAGTTATGACTTTAAAAACATAAGAAATAAAGGAAGCAGAAGAGTTTAAAGGGAGGGAAAAATACAAATTTATGTAAGCAGACTATACTGAAAGAAAGAAGTGGCTAAGGATGGCAGAGGGAGAAAACAGCCAAGAACGAAACGGAAGAAACTTGAGACTGAAGTGCAGTCAGGCAAGCAGGTGGATTCCAAAATTGGCAGCACACTGCCTTCTATGAAGGTAAACATTGTTTCCGAGAAGCACCCACCAGCAACAAATAGAATAAAAAAAAGGTGAACGAGAGCAGTGCACCAGCAGATATTTTATTGGGAGACTGCGGAAGGAAAATACGTTTCATAAAATCCACAGCGCAACCTGAGATTGAAGAGGATAAAGGTGAAAGAGTAAAATGGTGTGTGCCAAGTTTCGGGCACAACAACTCCTGTCAGGTCTTAAAGGACAACGTAACTCCCCAGTGCTGCCTGGGCACGGGGCCAGCAGGTGAAGGTGGGCGGCTTCCCGGCAGCTGAGGCAATTGCAGAAGCGATACAGCAGCTAGAAAAGCAATTTAGGATATAAAAACTAACAGCAGAAAGGCAAGTAGAAAGGACAGGCGAAGCTTAAATGAACTGGGTAGGAAGGGGGCAGACGTCAATTTTAAGAGCTGGGAAAGCATTTTTCAGAAACCGGGTAGACTGATTTTGCTGGGGAGCTGAGGAAGGGGAGTTTTT